AGCAGCCAGTGGGGCTGGGGGGATAACTCCTTGCTCTATGGGGTGACAGGGTACCCCAGTGGGGCTGGGTGGGATGGGGAGAAGGAGTTAATCCCTCTGCCCCTGTGGGGGTAACAGGATAGGCAAGTGGGGCTGGGCAGGGGGTAGCCCTGAGGGCCTGGGATGTAGTTAACCCCTTCTTTTCCCCTGCAGTGGGGCACTGACATGTGCAAATGGGGCTGGGCGGGTGGCAAGGTGACAGTTAACCCTCTGCATCCCCCTTCTGCTTTGGAAGGTGATGCTGTGTCCCCATGGGGCTGTGCAGGATGCTGAGGAAGGGGTTAACCCCCCATGGGGAAAGCAGTGGATCCCAGCGGGGCTGGGTGGCTGAGGGGGAAAGGGTCGACCCTTCTTCTCCCCCCCACCACCTTGGGGGTACCTGTGTCCTAGTGGGCTGTGGGGAAGACAAGAAAGGGGATAACAGCTGTCCCCATTTGAGGGGCAGTGTCCCTCAGTGGGGCTGGTGGCGGGGGCAGGTTTAACCCCTCTCCCCCATGGGGCTAGCACAGCATTCCAGTGTGGGGCTAACAGTGCATCCCCATGGGGCTGGAGACGGATGGGGCAGCCTGTCACCTCATCCCCACACAGGAGCCAGCACCCCAGTGGGGCTGGCAGTGGGGCCTGTGCATGGGAACACAGCAAGAGGACAGTTAACCCATCCCCACAGGCTGGCAGCACCAAGTGGGGCTGGAAATGGGGGTCACTTCAGCATTCCAGTGTGGGGCTAACAGTGCATCCCCATGGGGCTGGAGACGGATGGGGCAGCCTGTCACCTCATCCCCACACAGGAGCCAGCACCCCAGTGGGGCTGGCAGTGGGGCCTGTGCATGGGAACACAGCAAGAGGACAGTTAACCCATCCCCACAGGCTGGCAGCACCAAGTGGGGCTGGAAATGGGGGTCACTTTGCACAGGGGAACATGATGGGGGATAACCCATCCTCATAGCGGTGCCAGCACCCCAATAAGTGTGGGAAGGGGGGGGGTCACTGTGCACGGGGGAGCACGATGGGGGATAACCCATCCCCACAGTGGTACCAGCACCCCAGTAAGGCTGGAAGGGGGGAGTCAGTGCCCGGGGGCGTGCAGGGGAGCACCCCGTGGCAGGGCAGCCTTCCGCTCCGTGCCGCGG